AAAAAATATATATATATATATATATATATATATATATATATATATATATAATTTAACCTGAGAAGCAAAGTAAAATGTCAGGGAATGAGATTATTATTTGATAGAACTTTCTATGATAATGGAAACGTTTTATATCTGAACTCTCCAATATGGTAGCCACTAGCCACATATGACTATTGAGCACTTGAAATGAGACTAGTATAACTAAGGAAAGGACACTGTAATTTAATTTAAATTAATTTAAATGTAAATAGCCACATGTGGTTAATAGCTATCATATTGGACAATCTTAGACAAGAGAATCTGGGATCTGACTAAAAGGCCAAAGGGAGTTAAAATGAAGATGGAGACTAAAGAAATGACTAAGATATGAATCAATATAAGAGGCAAGAAACATGTCCTGGAACTTAATTCTATTTACTACTCCTCCCACAAATATTTGTATTATTATTGCCATGTATTTCTATTATGAATTTTCCATCCTTTTGTCTCTCTAGGATACACTGAATATTTTCTATTGACCTATTTTTCAGATCACTAATCTTCTCGTCATTTGGTCTAACCTGCCACTAAAGACATCTATTATATTCTTAATTTGATTTATTGTACTTCTCAGTTCTAGATTATCTATTTAATTCTTTTTTATAGATTATACTTGTACTTCTCCAATGTCTCCAGTTTATCATCTAATTTCTTGATCTTGTTAATCATATTATTTTAGTATCCATGTCTGATAACTTCCATAACCACATCACCCATAGGTTTGTTTTTATTACATGTTTTTTCTTTTGGTTTTTTCCCCTGTTATACCTGATATTTTGTAGTTGAATACCAGACATTTGGTATAAAAAGTTGGGAGGTTCTGGATTTAATTTCAGTTCTCTTTTAGGAAGTTTTAGACTAGGGAAAGATTATCTTAATCCAATTAGAGTTTTAACTGTTCAGAGGCTTGGTTCCAGTTTTTACATGATCTTGTCTATTTTTTATTTGCCCTTACTCTTAGGGCATAGTCCCTCAGATAGCACCAATAGAAAGCCTAGAGTATGTACTAGTCTTATTTTCATCTCCCTAAAAGTATAAGAATTTCTAGAAGCTCTATTTACCTCCTAAATATCTTGATTGCCACGAGGTTCATAATAAATGCCTACTCACAGGATAGGAGTCCCTGGGTGGCAGAAATGGTTAAACACTGGGCTACTAATCAAAAAGTTGGTGGTTCAAACCCAAACAGAGGTGCCTAGGAGGTAAGGCCTGGCAATCTGCTTCTGAAAGATCACAGCCTTGAAAATCCTATGGAGTGTAGTTCTGCTCCACACACTTGGGATCACTAAGTTGGAATTGACTCAACAGCAACTAATAACAATTCACAGGGTGTGTGGGAGGATTTAATGAGTTAATATTTGTGAAATGCTTAAAACAGTGCCTGAGATCTAGTGAACCATTCTTACCTACAAGTCAAGAATGTTCTCTAAAAGCAGATAGTTTGCCTACTTTATACACTATTGAAATTCCAGTGCCTAGAATGGCCCTGCATTGTCAACCCTTTGCCTCAGAGCATGAATCTTCAATTGTCCAATTGGTTAACAAGAAAGGGTGCCCTCTCCTTGCGGCTAGATCTCTGCAGCTTGCACATGCTGCTACCCTTGCAGCAAAGGCAGAGTGCCTTTGCATAACTTTTTTCAAGGATCTTTCAGGGACAGAAATTGTGGGACCTTAACTTAACCCAATTACAATTCCTTTTGCCTTATTTGAAGCTCTGGTAGCGCTGTGGTTAAAGCATTGGGCTCTAAAAAAAAAACATCAATGGTTCAAACCCATCAGCTGCTCCATGAGAGAAAGATGAGGCAGTCTGCTTCCTTATTTACAGCCTTAGAAACCCTATGGAACAGTTCTACTCTATCCCACAGGATCAGTATAAGTTGAAATTGACCCAATGTCAGTGGCTTTTTTTTTTTTTTTTTTTTTGCCTTATTTGGAACACAGGCAGCAAGTGTCTCAGCTCTATGTATGGAGACATACACATTGAAAAAGCAAACAAACTGGGAGTCTAGACTCAAAGGGTCTCTAAGCAATGATCATAAAGATAGCACAAGATTGGACAAAACTTCCATTATATGTGAGGATATCATGAATCAGAGCTGACTCAAAAATAACTAACAACAACAAGGAAGTAAGTAGTATATGCTACTCATTTTCCCTTAGTGCAAATATGTGGGTATTCTATAGGAAATGCAGTAACTTTGTTTGCATGAGATGTTTAGCAACACTGGTCCTAATCTTATCTGTTCCTGTAAAAAAGAATAATCTTTATAAAGACTCTGCCAGAGTTTCAGGAGCTCTGGTAGCGTAGTGCCTAAGGCACTTGACTGCTAATCAGAAGGCTGGTGGTTCAAACCCACCAGCCACTCTTCAGAGGGAAGGTTGGGCAATCTACTTCCGTAGTGATACTGTCTAGAAAACTCAAGGCAGGGGTCGCTGTGAGTCAGGTCTGACTTGATGGCAAATAACAACAACAGAGCTTCAGGAATTTTCCCAAGGTTTCTCCATAACTATCTTGTTTCAGCTGCTACTCCTGCACTGTTTCAAATTTAGTTTGATACAATGTCAAACCATGTGTCTGAGTCCATACACCATAAGGAAACAGCAGAGTCTAGTATGGCCAGACCAACAGGAAGGGCTTTCAAGTGAACAATAAATGGATCTCCTGATTTTATGAATATCTATTTAATTTTCTAGTGTTGCTGTAACAGAAATCCTCCAAGTGGATGGCTTTGACAAATAGAAATTTATTCTCTTACAGTTTAGGAGGCTAGAAATCTGAGTTCAGAGTGCCAGCTGCAGGGGAAGACTTTATCTGTCTGTGTCTCTTGTTGCTAGGAGGATCTCAGCACAGGAATCCTGGGTCTGAAGGATGCGATCTGCTCCTGGCTCCTCTTCCTTGATGGTAGTAGGTCCCCCTTCTCTGTTCCCTTCTCTCTCCTTTTATCTCTTGTAAGATAAAAGATGTTGCAGGCCACAGTCTAGGGAAGCTCCCCCTACTTAGATCAGGGCTGTGATTGGAGTAAGAGTGTTACAACCCACCCTTAATCTTATTCCCTTTACACCTGATCAGCTTATCACATCAAATCACACCATGGGTATCATTACATATCTCTCACATTATACCATTTCATAACTTCTAACCCATTGAGAATCATGGCCCAGCCAAGTTGACACAAATTTTGGCGGGACATAATTCAATCCTTCCCTCCACTGCAATTCCACACACCTGTTATGATTTTAGCAGGATCGACCTGCAGATCTGAATGAAAGATGTCACTGCATGGTAGATGGGATGGCAGAAGATGAAATCCATCCACTAAACATTTTACTAGACCGAAGAAAAAGTAGAAAATTTCTCAATCACAGATTACTTATGTTCGTCAAAGACTTTCTGAAATAAAATGCAAATTCTTGATCAAAGATTGTAACGGTTTCCAATGGGTTTTGCCATCAGAAGGCTGTGGCCATTTAAACCAGAACCAATGTTTGCCTCATTTTGTGATCCTATTGGCCTCACAGACAATTGGGAAGAAGGCAACAAGCAGCTTTCTATTCCCAAACAGCTGGTTCTTCCTATGCCTCAGCTCATGAGACTAAAAGACCTTAACTCTGAAAGCTACAAGTGATGGGAGGAGTTCTCTGCCAAATCCCTCAAAGAGAAAAAAATGAGTTCAGTGAGTCTTTTAACCAATGGATTGTCTTAGAAGATCATGGTAGTAGGTGGAAGCCCTATTCCTCTGCACTTGTATGTCTATGGGGGAAGGGGTGGGACTTCTCATCCCTTCTGTGGTGCAGTGAATTAATTAATATGGCCCTTCTAGCCACAGTCTTTGTAACTCCCACAAAATGAGTGGGTAGGACTATGCAAATGTAAGGTGCACGTGCCCCACAAAGGGGACTGGATAGCTAACTAAAAATATAAATAAGGGGCATGGTACCCATTGTGGGTGAGATCATGGAAATAAGATATATGGAATCCTAATGCTGGGATTGGTCAGTTTTGCCATCCTGCTAGACTTAAAATGAAGCATCCCTGAGGTGGAAGGAGGGGAATCTCACTGCCATCAAGAAAGAAGAGCCAGGATTGGAGCACATCCTTTGGTCCCAAGAATCCTGGGTTGAATCTCCTTGAAGACAGAAAGCTGTGACACCACAGGCAGCAAAAAGCAGTGGCAGAAAAATGGCAATAGCAGAAGCAGCAGAACC